TTCCACCTTAACAATTTGAATCAGGTTTACTGCCAACATGTAGATTAGTATGAAATGTCAGTTTGAGGTCAAGAGACTTATTCATTCTTTTTAAACATTGTTGTTGGTTAGTATTTAAAAGTAGCTGATTTTTGAAATTGTTACAAAGGGCTGGAGTCAAATAGTTGACAAAATAAATAAATGTTACTGAAACAGTGTTTTACAGCTGTGTCATTAAAGCTGATTGATTTCCACCACACATCATTAAGGTCATTTATCTTTCTTTTCAAACCCACACAGACTCGGTGGTGCGGTTTATTGGCATAACAATACATTTGTTAATTCATGAAACATGTACATCTGACCGGGTTACGACATTTCCTATTGACGCAGCAACCACTGTAAGTTATATTCTTGTTTAATTAGACTTCTGTTTCATTTATTCGACTCTGTATAATTGTTCTGTAGTTATTGTAGCTAAAACGGCTAAATCGCTTTTGAGAAATTTTAAATCTCAGATCTGCTCAGGCGAAACCTGCTTCACAGGTCTCAGCTCTCAATCCTGCATTATAATATAGGCAGGGCCAGTCTATTGATTGCGTGAAGTACAACCGCGTGACTCAGTCATCTTTCACTTAAAAAAGCATTTAAATACCGCATTTAAAATCTGATGAACTCAGTGTACATCTGACCGGGTTACGACATTTCCTATTGACGCAGCAACCACTGTAAGTTATATTCTTGTTTAATTAGACTTCTCTGTTTCATTTATTCGACTCTGTATAATTGTTCTGTAGTTATTGTAGCTAAAACGGCTAAATCGCTTTTGAGAGATTTTAAATCTCAGATCTGCTCAGGCGAAACCTGCTTCACAGGTCTCAGCTCTCAATCCTGCATTATAATATAGGCAGGGCCAGTCTATTGATTGCGTGAAGTACAACCGCGTGACTCAGTCATCTTTCACTTAAAAAAGCATTTAAATACCGCATTTAAAATCTGATGAACTCAGTGTACATCTGACCAGGTTACAACATTTCCTATTGACGCAGCAACCACTGTAAGTTATATTCTTGTTTAATTAGACTTCTCTGTTTCATTTATTCGACTCTGTATAATTGTTCTGTAGTTATTGTAGCTAAAACGGCTAAATCGCTTTTGAGAGATTTTAAATCTCAGATCTGCTCAGGCGAAACCTGCTTCACAGGTCTCACCTCTCAATCCTGCATTATAATATAGGCAGGGCCAGTCTATTGTCGCCCATCAGCTGTAGATAGTTAACTAATTAGAGGGGCGTGCCCCTACAGCTGTGAGAACTCAGCAATCAGGCGTCCATTTTAGGTAGCTCTTTCCTGGAGCGTCAGCTTAAGCGTCAGACAGGCTAAGACTGACAAAGACATTGGAGTCCTACGGGAGTAAGACTGACAAAGACATTGGAGTCCTACGGGAGTCACGAGGGAGGCAAAGAGGAGGCAAATCCTACTCTGATTGAGCTGGTGTCTTATTTCTCTTTTCTTTAGTTTTCTAACCCCTCATGCTATAATCATGTGTATTTTCTCCATTCCTGTTCATGTGTCTTCTCGCAATTATCACTGGCCCCGTGTATCTCGTAATCGATATAACCGGCCTGCTCTCGTCTATCCCACATGCTCCACTGAGATCCAACATCTAGTTTCAGGTGGCCTGTGGAATTGCCAGTCAGCTGTTCCTAAGGCTGACTTCATCTCTGGCTACGCCTCCCTGCAATCTCTGGATTTCCTTGCTCTCACTGAGACCTGGATTACTCCATCCAACACATCCACCCCAGCAGCTCTCTCCACTGCATATTCCTCCTCCCATACACCCAGACCAACTGGCAGAGGAGGTGGCACTGGTCTCCTGCTCTCTCCCAAATGGAGCTTTTCCCTCTTCAAGCTACCTAACTTCACTCCTTCCACCTTTGAATTCCATGCCGTCACAGTAACCCATCCTATACAATTGACCATTGTTGTTCTCTACCGTCCACCAGGCGCCTTGGGGGACTTCTTGGAGGAATTAGATAATCTCCTCTCACACATCCCTGAAACTGGCCCTCCCGCTGTACTTCTCGGAGACTTCAACCTCCAGACGGGGAAGATAGACGAACTAACATCCCTGTTAACCGCCTTTGCTTTCTCACTGTCTCCGTCCCCACCGACTCATAAAGCTGGCAATGTCCTTGATCTCATATTCTCAAGGAACTGCGCTACTTCTAACCTCTCTGTAAACCCGCTCCACACATCCGATCACTTCTTCATTTCATTCTCTCTACCCCTTTCCAAACATAACAAACTAATCTCTTCTCATCCTGCACTTGTCCGCCGTAACCTTCGTTCCCTCTCCCCCTCTACCTTTGCCTCGTCGGTGCTCTCAGCCCTCCCTTCCTCTGACTCGTTCCAACTCCTGCCTCCAAACTCTGCTGCAGAAACTCTCCTCTCTACTCTCTCATCCTCTCTGGACTCTCTCTGTCCTCTCACATCTCGGCAGGCTCGTCAGTCCCCTCCTGCTCCCTGGCTAAATGATGCACTGCGTGCTAATAGAACCGTCCTTAGGGCAGCAGAGCGGAAACGGTGGAAATCCAAACACTGTGACGACCTCCTAACCTATCAGGCTCTCCTCTCCTCTTTCTCTGCTTCGATCTCTCAGGCAAAAAGCACTTTCTTTCAAGATAAGATCCAATCTTCCTATTCCAATCCTAAAAAACTATTTTCCATCTTCTCCACCCTCTTGGACCCTCCAAAAGCCCCTCCCCCCTCCTCACTTCTGCCAAGCGACTTTGTTACCCACTTTGAAAAAAAGGTTGATGATATTCGCTCTTCTTTTTCTGACTCACCTTTACTCACCACTGGGTCACCAGACCCTCCTTCCACCAACACACTAACCTCCTTTTCCCCTCTCTCTCCAAGTGAGGTTCTTACCCTCATTACCTCTGCCCGCCCTACCACCTGTCCTCTGGACCCTATCCCTTCAAACCTCCTTCAGACTATCGCTCCTGATATTCTACCGTTTCTCACCCATTTCATCAACACTTCTCTAACTTCTGGTCACTTTCCAAACAGTCTCAAGGAGGCAAGAGTAAACCCTCTCCTAAAGAAACCTACTCTCAACCCGTCTGATGTTATAAACTACAGGCCTGTCTCTCTCCTCCCGTTCCTGTCTAAATCACTTGAACGCGCTGTCTTTAAACAACTCTCCTGTTATCTCCATGAGAACAACCTTCTGGATCCGCACCAGTCTGGTTTCAAGGCAGGTCACTCCACAGAAACTGCTCTCATTGCTGTCACGGAGGAACTGCACACTGCCAAAACTGCATTCCTCTCCTCTGTCATCATCCTGTTGGACCTGTCTGCTGCATTCGACACGGTGAATCATCAGATCCTCCTTCGCACTCTCCAAAAACTTGGAGTTTCAGGCTCTGCACTTTCCCTCCTCACCTCATATCTGAAAGACCGTACCTACAGGGTGACTTGGAGAGGGTCTGAGTCCGACCCTTGTCAATTAACTACAGGGGTCCCTCAGGGCTCTGTTCTTGGTCCCCTCCTCTTCTCCCTGTACACAAACTCGCTCGGATCAGTCATTAGCCCGCATGGTTTTTCATACCACTGCTACGCTGACGACACCCAATTAATTCTGTCCTTTCCCCGCTCAGAGACCCAGGTCGTCGCACGCATCTCTGCTTGTCTAGCTGACATCTCTCAGTGGATGTCTGCTCATCACCTCAAGCTCAACCTTGACAAGACTGAGCTGCTCTTCCTCCCGGGAAAAGATTGTCCCACTCTTGACCTAACAATCAACATCGGCACCTCAGTTGTTTCCCCGACTCAGACTGCAAGGAATCTGGGTGTGATCCTAGATAACAAACTGTCCTTCACTGCAAACATTGCTGCTACAACCCGCTGCTGCAGATACACGCTTTACAACATCAGGAAGATACGTGCCCAGCTGACACAGAAAGCGACGCAGGTTCTGGTCCAGGCTCTCGTCATCTCACGCCTAGACTACTGCAACTCCCTCCTGGCTGGTCTACCTGCATGTGCCATCCGACCTCTGCAGCTCATCCAGAATGCAGCGGCTCGTCTGGTCTTCAACCTACCTAAATTTTCCCACACCACGCCGCTCCTCCGCTCCCTTCACTGGCTTCCGGTAACTGCTAGAATCCACTTCAAGACACTGGTACTTGCTTACCATGCTGCGAATGGATCTGGCCCTTCGTACATCCAGGACATGGTTAAACCGTACACCCCAGCGCGTGCACTACGCTCTGCATCAGCCAAACGACTCGCTGCGCCCTCGCTGCGAGGGGGACCCAAGTTCCCATCGGCAAAAACACGTGGGTTTGCTATCCTGGCTCCAAGATGGTGGAATGAGCTCCCCATTGACATCAGGACAGCAGATAGCTTGCACATCTTCCGGCGCAGACTGAAAACTCATCTCTTTCGACTCCACTTCGAGCGATAGAACTTTTAACAAAGCACTTATATACTGATAAAGGACTGGCTTATCTAAAGCCAGTTGAGTAGCACTTGAAATGTTTTGGCTCTATGAAACCTGATGTACTTATATGATTCTGTTTTCTTCAAGGTTGTGTCTTCCTGGTCGAATGTACTTATTGTAAGTCGCTTTGGATAAAAGCGTCAGCTAAATGTAATGTAATGAAAGTCAAGAAATTGTTTAAACATGAACTATCTGCACAAAGTAACAGCTATGTCAGTAAAATAGGTTTTCTAGTTAGTTTATTGGTTACGTTTAGAGCATCAGTGTCAATTATAAGTCACACAACTTGACTCTTAATAAACTCCACACAATAAAAGAGAAGGCAAAACAACGCAAATGTTTTTCTTAAGGCAGACTAAACACTTTTAAGTATTTATACAAAACACTTCTATAGAAATGATTGAAGACACAAAATCAATCAGTTCAGATTTTATTGACATTGTATCAATCATTTTTATTATCTCTAAAAAACGAAATCATATCATTTCTAACATAAAATTATTTAGGTCTATTTTGTGATTGTACAAGGGTTTAAATACATTCACTGTTTTTTTTTTTTTACAAATCATTTGTTTTCATTTGTTACAAATTAACAAGTGTACAGAATATTAAGGAAATGCCTTGACCGTCTAATTTTCCAGGCTGAGTGTTCTGATTGTCAGGGAAGAGAACAATATGCAGGCTAAGTTACATAAAATAGCAGTTAATGAAAAAGGAAAGACCCTCAGATTGTTATTGATAGAAAGACAAACATAACCTATTGTTAACCATTAATTATACACATTTTTGCATCACTCTTCTTCTACTGTAAAACATATATTAGGGAAAAGCAGATTAGAGTAAATCTATAGCAACAGTTTGCATTTATAAAATATTGACTCCTAATGACAACAATAAGGAAAGTTGACGTAAAGGCCTAGAGGTAAAGGTCCTACTCGCACAGAAACTGCATATTATCCAGACTTTAAAGGAGGTCATGATGATATCAGGTCAACAGGCCCGTTCCTCCTAAATAGCTAGTACAGAGCTGACTTGTTCACTACTGGAAAAAGGTAAATACACATTCTACAATAGCACATATCTCAATGTCACATTGACACTTACAAAAAAAGAATAACCATGAACATTATGAACAGTTCACTATCACACAGGTAAAAGTAGTTTTGGCCCTAAAATCAGATGTGCTGAGTCAGTGTATCAGACCGGTTCTCCCGAGCAGGACGGAGGAAACCCCGACCCACCAGTGCATCACACCCCCCAGGGCGGCGCCCGCCTTGGACCGATACACCACCCTGCCGTCCAGAGGCTGCGTAGGTCTGAAGATGTCCGTCATGGGCTGTCCCGTCCAGAATCGACACTGCTGAGTTATCGCATCCAGCTGCAGTGGGTAGGAAAATAAACCTTTTTTTAGTCAAAGATAAAAATGTAAAACTGAAAGAAAATGACATGGATGTGTCTTAAAGTGAATCAATGGTTACTTTTCAAGGCACAGATACATTTATTCTGCACACGTTTAAATTACTTTTTACCTAATCAAGTCTTTTTTATTTTGAAGAGTCACAGGGATTCAATAATAGAGTATCTGTTCAAGCTTTCTCAAAAACCGACCTAACAAAGTTCATGGGCCCTTCAATTAAATGTTTAATTTACTTGAATATTTGGAGCAACTCTTCTATTGTTATAAAGTAAATAAAGTCCTACCAGTAATTCTTCATGCTGAAACTGTTTAGCTTAAGTTGTTTTCAGCGTAAACGCAATATAGGCATTAGGCTTTTCACACTTTGTATACAAGATAAGATAAAGGGTTTATGTCTCTATTAGTAACATCCAACCAAAGGTGCATTTTGCAATATATTTTCGGATGTAAATCTATTTACGAAACATTTTGTTATGTAGGAATTATTTACAATCTCAGTAACAAGAGTCTTTAAATAATTGTTTTATTTTATGTAAAAATGTTTGAAGGTTCACATATTGAGGAAATACAACCAAGATCAATTATTGGTCATCAGTGTGTTGACTCTTAGCCTTTAATCTATAGTTTCTCACCTGGCGGCTGCTGATGGGCAGCGTCCTGTGGAACAGCGTCCAGGCTACGGCCTGCTCACATCCTGGAGTAGTCATGGAGCCCACATAGCGGTAGTAACTGAACAGGTCCTTATCTGACGGGATAATATCACTGAGCCTGAAGTTTGGGATCACTGTGCTGCTGCCTGAACACACAAATAAGTGTTTTAAAGAGGGTTAGTTTGGTAAAACACTTAAAATAACAATTTATTTCAAAGGCTAAGTCCATTAATATGAAGAAAGTTCTTCACATTTGAGAAGTTCACTCATACCATTGTTTTTTACTCGGCCAAGATAAGCTATTAATGAGTCCAGATGAGGATTATCATCTGGTGATTCCTGTGAGGAAGACGCCAACATTATGACACAAGCCAAAATGGTGCTTTTATATTTATATTAAGAGTGCAGAGTAACGCAGACTAAATAATGTATTATATTACCTCAAACAGGAAGGCAAGCAGGGCTATACCTGCCATGTCATGTTCGGCCTCTGCCAGAGAGCCGTACGGTTCCTTGATGTGGACGATGTGCAGCTGAAACCCAAAACACAGCTCAATGAGTTACAGTAGTGGAGAGCATGTTATACTGTGCACTGTGTTAAACACACATTTGTCAAAATATCAGTATATTTTTGTGGGGGAAAGTATTAATAAAGGGTAGGTGCATTTTTCTCTACTCATTGACTGATACTGTAAATATGCACAGCTCATGTAAATCCTAAACAACTTGACCATGCTTTTCAGGTTCTTCGAAGTCTATTATTTCTACCAACATTGAAGACTGTTGGACCTATTAGACCCCTGTCACTTTAATATTTAAATAGCTTAACATGTAGGCTCCTCTGTGACGTACCTCCATGGGGAACTGCTCTCCATCAATGGTGTGCTCTGATCCGGGTCTCCCATTGCCTCCCCAGTGGAAGTGAAACTGGGCGGCTCGGTAGTGACCGGGCAGAGCTCCTCCAGTCAGACGGACCGACTGCGGCAGAGCAAAGTGAGCTACAGCCAAGAGAATACATTTGTTAAAATTAAATTGTGGGAGGTGTTAACAACTGGTAAATAATAGTCTGGAGGGAAAGACACCAATAAAGCAGGTTCCTAATCACCAGAGTGTCCTTTGTTTTCCACTGTGATGTTGATAGTGTTGGTGTGACCGATGAATTTGAAGGGTGGCAGGGCGCTGTTGACGTGCACTTTAGTTGAGACGATGTTGATTGGGGATTGGCGAAGTCCTCCACAGCTGGGAAACTGAGCTGCCCATCGAATAGGATCTGAAAACATGAACATTTAGGCTTCAGTGCCTGATATTTCCCCCCAAAATGCTGAGAGAACAGGTCAGCCTGGGCTGAACATATGTTCTTCTTTCACAAAGTACTTAAAAAACCCCATAATACACAATATAATTTCCCCTCCAGGTTTGATTTGATTTCTAGTACTGTTAACCCCACTGAGTATGAACACAAAGTCTGCTTAGGTAACCAAATGTTCAATTCTTTTTAGAATTTGCTAAAAACAGGAGTGACGGTTTCGTCTGGTTTATCTCTGCTTTGGATTTGTGTTTGTCACAAGGCCAGAGGTGTGTGTTCTAAAGAATTGTGTCTTGTATATTGGGCAACTTTATGGAACTGTATGCAAAAATAATGTGATCACATCATTTAAATGATGGGGCAAATGTTTGAGCTAACAGTTGCCTATACACATCCAGAAGACTTAATACAACCTTAACTATCATTTGCAGTCTGTTCTCCTAAGCCTTTTCTTTTAAAACAGCTGCTTTCTGTGGTCGAAAATAAAACTATGAATATAAGCTAAAGCTGCATAAACTGCAGAGTTGGGTGAATATTCTCTGTTGATTCATCACTACGAGCGACCCCTTTCACATCCAAGTGATTCATTGTTATTGAGTACTAAAACTATTAAAACATTCTAATTCATACAAAAAGGTTTGGATACATTTTTAACAAGAATGTGACGGATATGTTGTGTTTTTTTGACCATTTGGGGGTTTTCTCTTGAAACATGTGATAGTCTTTTCATTTCTTACCTCTGCATGTGTCATCACAGGAGTACTGGCTCTGGTAACACCACTGAGCTGCAGAGAAAGCACTGCATTGAGTTCAGACACAGACTAACTGTATAGTAAAGGCTAGTCACTTCTCTCTTGTGCCAAACAATATGGCTTTCTCTGGTTAATACATGAGGCATTATTCTTCTCATTTCCACGGCCCATTAGCCACATTGTTTTCGTTCTCAGTCAGCGATCTCACCGGCTGATCTGCTAATGTGTTTGTGCTCTCTGAGCTTTGAGAAGTCAGATCAGGTAAACACGTTCTCAGACAGACACACAGATCTGTTTTAATTCTCACATTACTAATCATGTCCTACAGAGGCTTTTTGTGTGCTCATCAGTTATCTGATAGAAGTTTATATTGACAAAACAAAACATAGCATCAGCACTGAAATTGATGATGTAAATCCATCACAGGTCACACTCAGTCAACAGCTGACGGTCAATGCGCTTTAACCAGAGGTTACATAAACACTGAAAATAATAACTAGGACTAAGGCATATTGGGTTGAAAGGGTTTAATGATTTACTGTTGCGACAATGCGCTAAACACAAACAAAAAAAGCAACCAATTTTGTGTTGAATAGTTTGAATGATATGAAAGTTTATATTTCTCTCAATTTTTTTGTTGCACTGTTAAAAACAGATGATAACCAGTTTTAGAATATGCTGTACAAACATCAATGTTTTCTCATTTGCCACTAAACAAATGTGTGACCTCTGTGAGATTCTCATTTACAACAGTGTGCACATAGAAAGGCCAGCTGCAGTACATGCCTAAAGTGAAAAATGTAAAAAAAGAACTACATTTAATTTGACGTTTTCATTGCTGAAGTTGGCATAAGGAAAACTGGATATAAATTGTTGATCAATTATAACTAAATAAATGACTGCCTTGTAATGTGTCTTTATTCCCCGCTGTAAGAAATAAGCTGATTTACTGATTGAAATTAAAACAGATACTGCAGGCCTGCATGCCAAGGCATTTACGCTTCAAAAATCACAAGTGGTGTTCATTTGTGAAGCATTAAACATGTCCATCCACCAGGTGCAGTCTCAGTGTTGTGCTGTGGTTGTGTATTGTGTTGCTGATGTGAATGTAACTCCAGTGTTTGACTCTGCGGTGGGAATGAAAGGCGCTATAGAGAACCATTTAGCTAATATAGGAACACAGATTAACCCCGCTGCTTCCCACAATGCAATTCTGTGAAAGGGGACAACAGTTCTCACCAACTGAGAACAATGCACAGGTGGAGGCTGGCTTTGCTCCGCCTGGCTCGAAATACACCAGTGCCAAATGGAGAAAAGTCAAACCCTTTTATATCACCAGCTTCTTTCTTTCCTTTTCTTTTCCTCATACATCATATTTTTCAGAGGTATTTTTCAGAAGTCACAAGTAACTAAGTCTTTGCACTTTAGTTTCAAGTCCTTATAGTTGACTTATTTTATGTCCAAAACAAGTCATAATTAGGTATTTTAAACTGAATGTTTGAAACCGATATATATATATATATATATATATATATATATATATACTAGAAAAGACTCAGTTGTGTTAAGGTCTAAGTCAAAGTGCAAGTTGTTTTTTAATTTTCTCAAATAACCTAAATTGTGTTTTCAGTCTATTTTAGGACCAAGCCATGTGACTCGAGTCCTCACTTAATATATTCTCTAATAAAACTGCATTCTAGATAAACACATACAATAAATAAATCGTTTCTTACTATTTTTTAAGCCTTTTAAGTAACACAATCTAAGTTTTCAAAGAATAAATAACACAGTCATCATCTTACAAATGAAGAGTTGAACTCCTAAGAACTAGAAACTTTTGGTGGCTAATGTTGGCTCATTTTACTAACTGCTATCGAAGAAAATACATTGTCTCACTTTTAAAATAAATCCATGCTTTCTTAAAACATCTTAAAAGTGGATTTTTTTCTTCGCTTATGCTGTTGTCAATTTAATGTTTTTGACTGCTTGGAAAAAAACAAGACATTCTGATCTTTATAGATGGAGGGTTATTTGATGAATTGAGAAACAAATCAAGTATATTGTTCATGACAATAATCTCATCACTTGTTGAACGTGTCTCTCATTTGTGGCCGGTTCAAGCAAAACATATGTATTTTTCCTTTTTGCATTTGAACTGTCATAAAGAGATACAATGAACCACTGGTTGACATGGAACAAACTAATATTTGAAGGAAATCAGTTAAAAATATGAATTTCTTCGCATCACAGAATTTTTTTTCCCTGCTTTTTAGAATGATCTCTTACCTGTGATTGAAAATCACTGCTTTGATTACGTAAGTTATTTTGCTGATTTTCATGTCAGAGCATTCTAAGTGTATGTGTGTGTGTGTGTTTGCATCCTACCTGTGCACTGAGAGAAGAGAGAAAGTAGAGTCAGGAGGTAGACAGAAAAATCCATGATCAGCACAGAGACCTGAGAAGATCTTAACAGACTAATTTCAACTGCTTTCACATACCGACAATGAGCTGCACTTGAGGGAGGGAGGGAGATTTAATGAAAAAAGGTGTGTGTGTGTGTGTGAGGAAAGAGAGGGAAAAAATGTCTCTCTGAGAAAGTTGTCAGGTGTGAGAACGAGGAAAGAGAGGCCCCTCTGTGGCCAAAGCAGACACGTTATTTCCAGATAGCTTCTTGCTTGTTAAACTGAAATTTAAGATTAGACCTTCCGAACATTTTGTCTACAAGACATATGTATAAAAAGTTATATAAAGTATTTTCTGGTTCCAGAGAGGTACCATTAAGTCTCTTGAGTTGTCACTGAAAGGCAAATCTGGTTCAAAGAAAAATGTGACTGTGTGGCGCAGAGAGACTAACTGATTACTCCTGCTCCTCATCTTTGCTTTGGATTGGTTGGGAGGGATATTTAATATCTCGGTATAGTGCATGCTTAAACAAAGTCAACGTTAGTTTATTCAGCAACACCTGGTTTCCTACAAATCAACCCTTACTTTCCTGATGTGATAAAGGCCTTTTCTTCTGATTACCAGGCTAATATATTGCATGCTAGCTCAAATGGCTTTAAATACAATATTATAATGGTACATTATGAAAATAAAGTCATGTCACAAACGGTTACATGTAGAAATATATTTATTTGATTATTCATCCAATATAAAGATACATGCAATTATTCAATTAAGTATTTAACAGAAACAGAAACAGAAACATTCAGAACATCAAGTTGTTTAAAATGTAACAAACAATTTACACATTTACATTTGTTACAGGTATATGGTGTTTTTAGAAAAAAGACATCCTTCATATAATTGTGTTAGATTATTTCAGGTGTTAGTCAACTACAGCAAGTCTGGACAAATGTTCTGCATCTCTGCTGTCACTGTGAGGAAAACAAACCTTCACTGGACAGAAGTACCTTCAGGCTGAATGCTTAGTTAATGGATCATCTATCATTGAAATGGAGTGGACACAACGTGAACTGTAGGTAACTCCTACACGTTAAAAACAGCTTCATTATTCAGCAATATCGACTTACTTAATTTTCTCGGCCCTTAAGTAAAACATTCTTTGTTTTGATTCTGCCTGTGTGTATAACTGTAATTGTTCACATTTAAAAGCATTCATTAGCCAAATCACAGCATTTCTATTTTACATTTAAAAGCATTCATTAGTTGAATCACAGCATTATATTGTACGTTCAAAAGTTAAAATGATTTTAGTGTGCATTCATGGAAATAAATAATTACCTTCATTAAAATAAGATGCTTGCTGCAGTGAGCTACGTGACACTGGATAACACAACACCCTGAACCTGAGACAGCAGTCCTGTGAGACGCTGATCTGATTGGTTCAGAGTCTCCTTGATGAAATGGTTTGAAATGCACGTTGCTCTTCTCTTTAAAAGGAACACTTGTTGTCTGGAAAGGAATGGGAGGTCTTCAAAGGAGATAATGCTGTTGGAAAAGGAAGAACATTCTTTATAATACATGTATTAACACTGCTTCAATCAAGTTGAGATGTTTTCCAACTATACAGGGCATTTCAAGTTTAGTTCAAAACACTTGTGAAAAATGTACAGAAGTTGTGTAATTGTATAAAAAGGTAATAACTGCATTCCACCTTAAAATATATTTTCATGCATATATCCATTCAACACATACAACACGGGAACAAAATAATTCTGCATTAATAGACTGCTGTAACACAGTTTTTGTTTATTTACACAACTATATCCTACGTTATGTAATCAGTGACATCAGTGTTTGGAGGGCTGTAAAGTCCATGTTTTATTGATTTATAAATTAAACTTCAAGGTCTTGGCATAAGCGACAGAAACAGAATATAGTAAGTACATGATAAACACAATTTCCCAGTTCTTTTGAACTTTTGAACACTTACAGTTCATGCTTATCTCTCAATGTGGTCGATGTTTCTTCCTCCACTTCTGCTTCCGCATGACACACAATTAAAAAACGTTTTTGTCTGTGCAGCACTTCATTGTTTCTCTCTTCCTGTGTGACTCACCTGCAGCACCACAGCAGCCACCACAGCCATCACGGCCAGGAGCGCCATCCGTCCAACCCAGCCCAGGTCCACGCTGTTCAGGATGAAGAAGCGGGCCCAGCCCAGTTTCTTGGGTGTGTGGGGGGGGTAGCGCATGCTGTTCACACCCTCCATCTTCAGCTTTTTGATGAGACAGCTGCGCAGGTGGCTCAGCTGGTCGAAGCTGTACTTCCCGTGGTAGCAGCCCATACCGCTGTTTCCTGAAAACATGAAAACAGAGGGAGAATGTTATTATTTTGAGTGTAAGCTGCAGAAATATGACTGCTTCAAGAGCCACATAATATAATAAATCCTAAGAACAGATAAGAAGTTAATAAAGACACGAGGAAAAGAGTTTGCTCCAAACATCGAGCACCTTCCCTAACCTTTCCTTCCAAATAGAAGTACACCTTAAACATAAATATAGTTTTTATCTTGGAAGATTGTTAGAAATATTATATAAAGTGGTTATGGCACACTGGAGAAATAACTTTGCTCAGGGTTCTTACACCTTTTCCAAAGTCAAATTCAAGCACTTTTCAAGCATTTTCAAGGTGCATTTTCCAGCTTTTCAAGCATCTTACAGCTGTTGTAAATTACATATTTATATACACATACTCAAATGATTATTTCCCTACCTCACATTAAATCAGATGTTCTTTATGCTATAAACAACCAAATGTGTGTTTCGTGATAGCCTTCTACACGAGGATGACAAATTAAAGAAAAGAAAACTAAGTTTAATATTTCAAAATGAGTGACCCATCTGTATGTTCCATATAACCTGTCTGAGCCGATATAAAACAATCAGCCAAATAACTTTTCAATACATTATTGATTACTATTTTTGAGGTACTTTTAGGTTGGCAGTAAACACAAGTCAGAGGTACATGGTGTACTTCTACTCCACTACAGTTCAGAGGTACATGGTGTACTTCTACTCCACTACAGTTCAGAGGTACATGGTGTACTTCTACTCCACTACAGTTCAGAGGTACATGGTGTACTTCTACTCCTCTACAGTTCAGAGGTACATGGTGTACTTTTACTCCACTACATGTATTTAATACCTTTAGTTACTTTACAGACCTGGATGAATGATGTGAAATATAATCAAGTGTTAAATCAGACTTTAGTTCCACCTGGAGTAAATCCACCAGCTACCCTGCAGTATACAAAGTCATTCAAACTAGCTGCACCTTTACCAGCTTTGAGAACACTTTCATGATCAATCATTATAAAACATATAATATATATTATTCTGAAATGGACCACTCTGCACAACGACTACTTTTACTGTCGCTACTTTCACTATATTTGGATGAGAATACTTTTCTACTTTCACTTGAGGAATATTTTGAATGCAGGACTTTTACTGTGACAGAGTATTCCTACACTCTGAGTACTTCTACTTTTGCTAAGTACAAGATCTGAGTACTTATAATTTCACTACAAGATCTGAGTACTTATACTTTTACTCAAGTACAATACCTGAGTACTTATTCCACCTCTGGTAGCATATTAGTCTGAATTGTAGCCACAAAATCAAGCAGAGCTGCATAAAAATAGACACACAATGGTAACAAGTGGAAAATAATATTTACAAATGTGTACAATGATTTGTAGGTAATGCTACTCAAGACACCTGACTTATACATCTTCAAAGGAAGACTGTGTTCATTCTACAATTACATGGGATTAAAGCAACATGTAGTTTTACTTGTATAATACTTCAATTTTATATAAAAGACAGTTTGTTTTCATCTGTTTTCAAATAAACAAAGTCTTGGCTTTCAGAATATTAAACTTGTTTCGGCAAATTCAGATGATAAATACAACTTTGAAGCTTCGGCATAATTACAAGCGGAGAACGGAGTAACTTAACGTCACAGCAGGCATAACAACAGCTGGTGTTTCTTGTGAGTGTTTTCCTGGGAAACAAACGCAAAAATACACAAACACACTCGCGAGCTTCCCCCAGACCAGTAATACAAACGAAGATGTGTCTTCGGGTCAATGTGACTGATTTCGATAGATCAAGTCACATTTGGTTTAGGCACGAAACATACTACCAGTAGAAATACATTGCTTTCAAAATCGCTCTGTGTCGAATCAATAGATTATATTTCGTGACTATAACACGAAATGCCGTGAGTGCTTCATCCTCTGAACACCACACGATGGCGACTGTAACGCACATAACATAGGTACGCTCATCTGAAATGATTGTCCCCTGCAATTATTATTATCCCTCAATCGAGTTCGCTATTCAGCTAGCTAACGTTAGCTTAAACAAACATAACATGCAACGTTAGCCTAATCTAAAATGCTCTACTACGGCGTACCTTTCATGTGGCTCGTCAGCGCAGACTCTCGCATCGTTATTTTTGCAAACTTTGCAGGAGGCTACTCGTGGGCTTGACCCTCGTCTTAGCCATGGTTTGTATTTGTCTTCTGCTAGCCAACGCTCGTTGAAACTGCAACCTCCTGGCACACAGTCATCTATCACACGTAACACAAACACTTGCAGGTCGCCCGCATAGCGCGGGAAGGCCGCAGCGGAGCTGTTTTATGTAAAAGCAAAGCAATTATTTTCTTTTAATCTAAAAAGCGAACTATTCAGACAGCAATTTAATGTAAAAGTAAAGCATTTACATTTGCAAGCACTTTATCTCAATTTCAAGCACCATTCCCAAAATTCAAGCACTTTCCCAACCTTGAAAACACCACGTCAAATTTCAAGCATTTTCAAGCATTTTCAAGGATTTCAAGCACCCGTACGAACCCTGTTTGCTTCAACATTGATCAAGTGGTCTTTTGTGCTTGTCAAAAGTAAGTAAAAATAAGAATCAAGTCATATTTGTAGTTAAATAGTTTTTAACATTCTACAATCAGAGAATGGGTGATGACCGGTAACTACATATTTCTATTTGGGTTTCCAATAACTCACAAAAATGCATGACGATTAGAAAGGTACAAAATAAGCAATAGGCCTTTGGTATGATCATTCCCAAACTAGTGAAAACTAGAGCGATGGTAGATTGTTTAACTTGCAGTGATCTCATTTCTCCTCTTTTAGATAAAAACAAAGGAGCATTTGTGTTCTCTGTAGGTCTCTACCACATGTTTCTTCTGTTCAACAAACTACAATGAATAACAATGATAAATACCGAACTGAACTCATCTTGTAATACTTCTGCATCAAAATGTGCAGACTAACTCAAAGGCACCACCTGGTGACAGAAGCCAACAGCACACTCACAAACATCAATTTGCATGAGGATACACTCATGAAAAGAAACAAGGACGCAATCACAAATTCACCTCTATATAT